ACATCAGTTAATATGCTTAGAATAGTTTTCAACTAGTTTTGACGGATACCTTTTAAATATCAGCAAGTAAGAGTAATCAATTTAGATCCCTATGGTTTTATTAAGATATTGAATTAAAAAATATTTGTATTAAATAATAAATGCAGTTACAAGTCTAACTGCGAAGGATTCACGAACAAATATAAACAATATTGAGCTGACCCATTTAATTGTATGTACGCATGTAGATTATAATAGATTTTTTTTATATTACATGTTCCAGAGATTTCTAGTTAGTATAGATACTTAGTAAATAGTTTTGTTACTTTTATACCGCGTGTCTGATAAACAAAGAGCTTGCAGGTGTTGTGAGCCGTTTATGTTTTTCTACCTTTAAAAGGGTTCAATGCCAATTGATACGTTTCCAGTTTAAGTACATAGAGAAACTCGATCGTGCATGGTCATACAATACTATTTTCACTTTTCCAGCTGTATATTGTTGTAATTTAGACGAATATAGCGTATTACGAATAAACTTCAGTGCCCAGGTCAATTGCAAACTGGAAACACTAAATTACAAATAAGCAATTAACTAAATAAATAATACTTTGCTATTATTGTATTAAATCTTTTTCTCTTTTGCTGCTCACCATTTTATATTTTTATTTACAGAATAATCAGGATAAAAAAGTTCAAAACAGACGTTTAAAATTATGTTAAGTCACCTGTCTACACTCACGCTTCCTGAAAATCCAAAACAATTGTGTAATGTGTAATTCGATTAGATATTGTACCGCTTCAGAATGTAAACAAGATTTTCTTCTATTATTGTTTTTAGTTATGTGGCAGCCGCTTGGTTTTCTGTGGTTTTTACGGTCCAAGCTAAATCTATTCCGTTCAATAGTCGACTAGAATAGAAAAACACTTACTGTTGGGTTTGCCGGTAATCTGTTTGGGGATGAACACTCTCCACAAACTATTGACTGATAATAAAACCACTGGATAACTAGATGGTCGGCAATTTAATGACTATGACGGCATTTATGTGCGAGACGACTTAACCGATTTTTTCGAATAATCGTAAAACTCGCATCATTTCACAGGGTACCTCTTTGTTTACTTTTCTGCGATGCACCTATCAATGCAGAATAGTCGATGTTGGTTTTTTGACTAGAAGCTTGTAATGAACACGACGGTTATAGTTTATCAAATTAATTCATTTGTAGTGTTTGCATAACGCCTTTTATATCAAATTTCGGCTTTTTTTTTATCAAGAGGTGAAGTTTGCTTACACTCATTATGATTGAGCATAAAGCTGTTGGCTTAGTTTCGTTAGGTTATGCGCATGACTCCGGTAAAACGGTTTCTTAAACGACATTCTCAGATATAAACAAACGACTTAGAGCGGCAAAAAAAAAATTTAGCAAATTGTTTCCAAGAAGTGTTGGAGCGATGTAACAGAGCTAGAAGTATTGTGTTTTCCTTTGTGCTTATAAGCTTTACGTGGTTGTCGATGTGCTTTCTGATGAAACCGATTTGTCGTTTTGATGGCAGTGCATTTTTACAAGTTCAATCGGTGTACATGATAAATGGTGGTTCAAAATATCTTGTACTTGTATTGAGATCCAGCAAAACGTGGTTTGTACCTATAAGATAAAAAATTATCGAAATAAAGTAACAAGTTTTGATATTTGCACATCAATTGTAAACTCTAAACATATAAAAACCACCCTTTGCTTTATATCTTCTTAATCAGCGTGTACTAAGTCTTGTTTTACTCAACAAACCTTAAAGATATTCTCATTAGTTTTCAAAGTAGCTAAGTTTAATCAGCTATGCAATTAAAACTATTGTTAAAAAATCACAGCGGTCGGATATTTTTGAATTTTCCACAATTATTGTTCAAAAATAAAAAGCTTAAATAAATATAAATCCACCCGACTTAGAGTGTTTTCCCTAGATTGTTTTCTTTTAAGTGAACATTTTTACGCCCAATAAAACAGATAGCGACCGTAAAGTGTACGCCTTTGTGTAATAATAGAACTAACATATTAAGCGTGCCACGATAATAACACTGTGGTTGATTCATTGGAGTATACATACCCGAAAATAACCGCTAGGGGTCTCATTCACGGGGATTCATTTGTATTGGATTAAAACATTAAACATAATTAATAATATATGGCAAGCACGCTCATCTGGAACACATACACTAATGTGGTGTATTAAGAGGATGGGTCTTAACCCAGACTGAAGTCCTACTCCAAATTTGGAAATGATAACTACAGTGCAGTACGTCACTTTTTTTTAATTTTGGTAAATCAAAGGTTTGCTCTCCTCGAAATTAAATCATGGATACGACACTGTTATTAAGGAGAAGTAGATTGGCAATATTTGACGAATAATTACTAACAATAATTACTACGAATAATTTTACTTTTGATTATTATTAAATTTTACTTAAAATAATTGTACTTCAAAATACCAAACATTTAGTTTATAGCGAGAGATTTATTAAGATCAAAATAAATGTAGCACTAATTTTAAGTTTTAAGGATTTTAGAATCCCAAGCCCCTCTGATATCCGCCAATGGGTTAAACAAAAATTAAATAGAAATGCGTTCAATAAACGGCAATACAATGCTTGTCAGTATTTCACGGTCAGTATGAACGTGACATATGTGTTCAAATTGTTAGTGTAAATGCAGTTGAATGAGGTTTCTGCTATGCAGCATTATATTGACCATATTGCGGGTTTGCGTCTACTGAAAAGCTACCGCGTCAAGAAAATGTTTAAATTAACACAACGTAAAGTGTTTACTACTATAAAATCAATTTTTGGTTAAATTAGTTGGCTTAAAGATTGAATTTGCTGTTATTTATATTTTTGTTCGACAGTTGTCGATGAACTGCAGCATTGTAAAATATTACAAGTAGTTTTGTATTAAGTTTTGAGTAAAATAATTAAAATACTATTGAATAATTCAGATTCTGGTTTAAATACCTTAAATGGTTGTATTTAAAATTATATTAAAAAAAACATTTTAATTATTTGTAAGTAATTGACAACATAGTTTTGAATACATACTTTTATGTGTAGTTTTTTTAATTGCTTAAGTTTAGTAATCACCAAAAATATATATTTTTAAATCAACATGTTATTAATTGTAAGCAAACCTTGGTATTTTTATTTAAATAGCAAATCATAATTTGAAAATCATTTTTATTTATTGTTTTAAATAATAAATAAATAATAAATTGAAATAACTTATTACATAACATTAGAATACCAAAATATCTGTATTGTATTTTATTATTTCAACTAACCTTGTTATTTAAATATATTTTTTCTACATTTTATTCTTTGAACATTCTTTTTTTTAGTAAGGTTTTCTCTAAATCATATATATCGGTCAAGTTTTTGTGACTTTTATAACATTAATATTTTCTAATATGTTGATAGTTTGTTTTTTTTCATATGTGCTATTATCAGATAAAATATTACAGCGCAACAAAAACTACAACATTTGTAATATATTATATTACAATATAATATGTATATCTTTATCAAAAAGTCGAATCATGAACAAAAAACCATTAAAAAGTCGAATCCCGCTTTAAACACATTGTAAATAATGAGATTGGACTGCCGAGCTTTCCATTTACAGTTATTAAATTCAATGCAGAAATCGGAGAGAGGAACTTTTAAAGGATCAGAATCAATTGTATGTTTATTAAGAGCATGCCAGTTGATTAGCATCTGCATTCCCCAAATGATCTGATACTCCCAAAAAAAAAAAAAATTTAATTAGTATATTTTGAATGGATGTTTTATAGAAAAGAGATATAACAAGAAGAAAGAGATAAGACAAGCACGCGCGCGTTTAATAATCTGATAATAGTTATTTTAATTAATTATCATATCAAATTACAATCATTTTCAATTTAAAGAACGCGATTTCCGTATTCAAATTAGGCAGTACAAGGCAGTACACGAATACAATAATTGACTTGCGTTCAAAAGTAACGTTTGAGTGTTGTAGATAGAGTATCATTTTAGGCATTGTATAATATTCTCGGTAAAGACATATGATTTATTTCTGTTATTAACTGAACCTTATTGAACTTATGTGAACATCACAAATGATTATAACGCTAAAGAAACCGGCATCGTTTCTGTATGCTCGTAAACTTTTAGAGTTTACTCTCGGTTGTTTACCGAATGCTTGTATTTGACTTTTGATTGTCAATGTTGAATTATGCCATTATATAGCAGGGAACTCCGCTGAATTGACAAACAACAAACCATCGCCGAGTTTTAATCGTATTATGATAGGTATGACTTTATACAACAGAACGTTTATTTGGATGTATTTTGTTGTTTAAACGTTTTTCTTGAAAACAAAATCATAACTTTTATACTGATGACGGCCGGTTAGCGACGATCACTGCGGCCAAGGGTTAGGTATTGTTTGTAACGGCCGAATGACGTTTGAGAAGTTGGATTCACAGACCATAACACACGAGAGTCTCTCCAAGTAGACCGTTTAAGATGAAAAAATCAAGAACCAGAAAAAAACAGACAAAGAAAGACTCACACACACACACACATTTAGAAGTGTATACCGTGTGTACTGTGTATAGTTTAAGGAGTTAAAGATGGGTGGTGGCAAGGGTGTGAGTATTAGACGGAACAGAAAGGCAGGAACGGGTAGAAAGACACTAGTCTTTGGGGTTTTGCGGTTTTTGCTTAAACCGCGGGCTTATTGATGACGTGTTGGGGGGCGAAAGAAAGCTTGATTCATGACCGCCGGACGAATACAACAGAGAGTTAGAGTGAAAGAGCGACGGCACCGCACTAAATGGTTTAACGTTTTGACACACACGAGCACATCGTATAGAGAACCTATACTTTAACATAAACCCGTTATTACCGTAATGACTTTTGCTGGATTTATTAAGAAAAGAAAAACCAAACACAAGTGTCTTAATTAAAATTGTATTTTATTTTTGTATTCTAGATCTTGCGCAAAACACATAAGTACCGTGAACATTTAATCGACCCTATGGAGCACTGACAACGATTGGAAATAGTTTTACGACCCGGCTTACGGATTAGCGACTGAATATTTTCAAAACAAGTAAGCTGTATGTAATAACTTGTAGTAACAGTAACTGCAGTATAAATAACAATATTATGACTGTTAATTTTTCATAATAAAATGACTGGCAAGTAAATAGGAGAATGATTGCATTGTTTTCATGAATGAAAGCGATAAACCAAATCTAAAATACTCCAAAAAACATAATAGTTACCACTAGGTTTTTATTAAAAAAATATGCAACCAAGTTGCAACGGTCAACAATGTATGGATATCAATTCTTATTAAGTTATTTGAAATCTTTGCAAACGTGTCAGTCTTATAACGTTTTCCTAAAAAAATATTTGTCTCGAGACATATTTAAGAAAAACAATAAGATTTATAATATATTCCAAAACTTCGTTTTCCTTTATAGGAATTGAATAGTTCAGAGACCGGAAAAACCATTTTCTATATGCATATTTTTCCATTTAAATGTCTGGATTGGTAGCCTTAGCAGTAAGTAGGCGAGAAACGCCAAACCTGTCATTACCATAAGCCACCGAAAATGGGCTAAAAGAAGAATTTGGGAAACTTACTGTAATTATGGCTCACCACAGGCTAATAAATTGTCTTTATATCGTGCGAGATGCTTTTCATGCATTAAGCAAATTGTTTTTTTTATTCGGAGTAACCGTTTCTGTTAGTTCATTGTCACTATTAAAACGCTGCATTTTAAATCAACATTATTTTAAACCAATAGTTAGATATTGGTCGGATAAAGGTTCATTTTTCCATATTCGAATACTTAAAATCAAACTGTTCACTACTGAACGATAAGTCCACATTTGATTGGTAAATTATAAAAATATAAACTATTTTACATATAAATAAAGTGATGGAACTTTCGTATACTACACAAATCAGTGTTACAAACTAACGTTGTATAGGTTATGCGCATAGATGTTTGTTTATTTTTACTCTTGGTTCGAATCTTACTTCGAAAAGTAATCATCACCGACGTCGTTAATATTATTTATTATCTTGTCATTCGCGAATTTACTTATTAGTTTGTCTGTTTGAAATTAAATTATAGCTATAGTTAGTTATTACAGTAAACTGTAAACGGGATTTACAACGCGACACGAATAATTAGAGCATTGTTGAAATAACAAAACTTTCTATCGATGAGTAGTGGTATACACTCGAGAGAGCAATCAAACATAGTGAGACTAAGATACACATTTGTCTCAGAAAAATAGCTGCAACTCGAGATGTGCTTGTCGACATAAAATATTCGTTCGGGAATATTGTTGTGCTGGAGAATACAAAATAACATCAATGTTATAATCGTTAAAATGAAATTATATTGTTCCTATCGATACGGATAATGAGACCTGGTAATCCGTTTGAAGTGTACATTTTGTTCATCCAAGCGGAACTAATCGGAGATCCGAAATCCTATTGTTTCTCCTGTTTTATACTACCCACGAAAATTGAATACATATTCAAACGGAATAATCGTAATTGTGTTATATTTTATTTAAAACAAAGTAAAATGTAATTTAAAATAATGACCACACTGAAACAGTATTCACTGCGTGGTCATCTGTATTGATCTTCATTTATACCTACCATTAATTATTTTAGCATTTACAACTCGCAGTAGTATAACCACCGACGCGTGCAGAGTGTCTATCCTGGTACTTATTCTTAGATAGTAAAAAATAATTTTCAAGTAAAATTTGAATATTTTTATATTACGTTGATTATTCATATTTTTTTTTTTGTATTTTCATCAGTTTTTATAAGTTAGCAAAGTTAGTACAATTTGTAAAATTGATTCGGAGAAACGTTTACATAAAAATATTTCTTATAAAAGACACACAACACAAATAAAACTTCAACGGGCGGTATAAAAAAAAAAAAAAAAAGTTATCACGTCTTTTTCTTTCAAATCAAACATGCATTACCACCGCAACAATTGTGGTTGCCTAATGCATTTTAAAGCTTTTTCGTAAACTTTTATGCCAAACGACGTACTACTATAGTGGTTACAAGGGCGAGCTCAGAGGTTCCGTAAGATTAAGTGTCCTTTTTAAAAGAGTATATACAATATCACCTTTGGTTTAAGTAAATTTTCCGCCGGGGAAATATTATTTATTCGAACGGGAAAAGGAAACGTAATACAATAAGCACATAAAGCTCGTTGATAAACACCCCTATACCAACCTAGCAGCAACCCACTATAGCTAACGTTTGCTATATTATATAGATAATGTACAGCAATAAGTGTTACAACCCGCGTTGATTAATGTACTGTAGGCGGGCAAAATAAGAAAACATGATTACCCTTATAACATAAATGCACTTAATTCTTCGATGAGACTATTTTTTTTTTTTTTTTTAGTTTAATGTTTTGCGCGTTTTACCTAATTTGTTGTATTGTCGATTTTGGGCGCGGTGCTTGCAGTAAACCAGCAATTAGGATTACCGCAATTATTCATTTTTAAACTATAAAGATTAGTGGCCATCACGCGGCAACTGCTTTATATTTATTAAACGTTTCATTAACATAATAATAGCATTACATTTTTAAAACACGTGATTAATTCGGAAAGGTTGGTTTTGCTTCCTGTATAATTGTTTTTTTGTTTGAACCGACATAATGTAAAACTATGACAATACCGATGTGCACTACAGCCAGAGTTGGGCATTTTTTTTATTCGAATAACGAATAATAACTAATTTATTTCAATGATCTCTTTATTTGATACTATTCAAGATGATTTATTTGAATAAAAAAAAAATTATTCGACGGTCATTCGAACAAAAAATTATTTAGATAAAAAAAACTATGTAAATAATGCCCAACTCTGACGACAATCAACATTGTGATACCGCTTGTAACGTCTTGGTTTTATCAATTCATTAAATTAATACTCCATTGGGTAGACAATTTTCGTAGTAGACCAACAACTTTAATATCGCCGAGAAAAAAATAATTAAAACATTTTTACAACCTTTTCGAAAACATAAACTAAAAACTTTAGATGGTGCGTTAATGAATTACGTTTATTGTTCTCATACAAAATTCACAGATTCTAAAGAAGTAAAACAAAAAACTCATAAACCAGCTGCAGTCCAAGCGTTTAGCTTTGTCGTTAATAAAGCATACGGTCGATACCTGATGCGCGACATCGTGCGACCTTAAGTAGTGGACCGCAGGTGTATATAGTTAAACGCAGTGGCCACATTTGGATTTACAATGCCGTATTGGTTTTAATACATAGAACGTTGTTATAGATGTATATAGGACAAATTTTATAGTTGGTCTTACCGAAATATTAACCTCGGTTCTCCAATATCGTTTTAACGAGCTTTCGGATAAAGTGAACTTTTATTACTCCGCCATAGCTGCTGTATACATGTATACAATAAGGATGATTTACCCATAAACATACAAGCATAGGTTATTGCAACGAACGGGTATTTTTTTTAACGTATATACAATACCGTCTATTGTAATCTATTTATTGGGCAATAGTATTAGGCGAAGTAGTGTGATCGACGGTCTACCCTTATGGGTTCTGTATATTGTAAAAAAAAAAAGAGATACTATTATCATCAAAGCCGAATGTGCTTGAAAACGGTTGGTTTAAAACGTAACAAAAAAAAAAAAAAAATACAGCAACAAGAAAACAATTACCCGGAGAGAAATCGACAAAACAAGTAATAAGATTAATGATGGCCGTCCGATGTGTATGTGTGAGTTTGACCGAAATGAAAAACAAAAAGTTATTAGAACAAGTCGACCGTGTTTAATGGTCGCAAGGCAAATAAAGTGACGCTGTTAGAGCGCCTCCGTAAACAACACTGTTCTTAGGGTCACGTACCCTGTGAAGCGCACTGGGTCAGCTCTCGACGACACTGGTGCGTTTTTTGGCAGAAAATTGTAGATTTTTTTAATGAACAACAACATGACCAGTCTGCCGACACGCTGAAGTGACGAGCATGTTGATATTTGCATAGTGTTAGGCCTTGACACGGCCTCAAGTGTTTACATACAACTTATGTAAAATATAGACAAATTCCGGTGGAAGACCTTTCAAAACGATTACGACGCAGCTGTGCACCCGATAGTGCAAAGTGTGTTTACAGGGCAGATTGTCACATGATTAAATTTGTATCGTGTAAATATAATGTATGGGATGTTTTTTTTTTTTTTTTTGACGGGTGGTACTGCCGAGTGTCTTCCAATAAATGATAATCGAACCGTATGTTACCCATTCATCAAATTTACTTAATGTAGACAAAAATGTACAGGTTGTAAGTATATTTTCCTGATAATTAAAAAAAAAAAAAAAGATCATCGTTTTATTATTATATTTTATACCATTCTATATATTTTTTTTAATATAAATAAGAAGTTGAATTTAAATGACTTGAGAAACGGAGATTTTTTTTTTTGCTAATGCTCAGAATTGACTTGGACGACCAACTGTTGTCACGGGCATGGTGAAAAAGAGTACTCTATATTATGAATGATATCGTAACTCGATATAATTAATAATGGAAACATGAAAAGCAATTCTAAGAATCTATTCATTTAAAATGAAAACCGTTTAATAGCTTAAATAACTGCACAAAGTCAGATTTATGTTACACTAGCAAAAATATATAAGCACAAACTATAACGTCCAATATTCGTGTTTTTAAGCTATAATAATTACGGTCTATAATTTAATAAACTTTGTTTATACATAAATATATACAGCTTTGTTCGAAGAATTAATAAAGTGGACTGCCAGACAAAAACGGTTTAATGATCAATATACTTATCATTTATAAATATACCTTCTTACTTGGGTTCTTATAAAATAAATTATTATTAAAACAATTTTTCAATAGAATTAAGAGGACGCCACTCGGTCCATTTTTAATGAGACCATTTTTAGGCAATTTTACATAAATTCTTAATTTAGAGCTTGAACTATAGTGTATACTTACCAATACAGTAATAAAGATACTTTATTGATTGCCATTTTTTTTGCCAAACT